AATCAAGCAATCTGATTGGCTGATTAGACAGATTACAATTATCAAAAATGGTACAGTACAAGTTTCACCCCCTTGAAATCAAGTTTCACTCCTTTTCACTCCAACTTTCTCATAGAATGGTAGACTGTAATGGTCGCTACCAATTTTGATCGGTTTAACTACTAGCCAATTAGATTGCTTGATTCCTACCAAATTTTAGTATTATCCTTCACTCRTCTAAATTAAAGTCCAAAACCAAATAAGTTCCCCCTTTCATGGAATAGTATGAACACCTCCTATGCAGTGGTATGTAACAGTTAATAGAGTGTGTAAACCCTAAAAAAAACGACTGAACCCTCTTGAAAAAAGGAATTTTACTCGAGGAAAAAAATATTACTACTAGTACTACTAAGAAAATCTCAGTTCATTTTAAAGCCCTGCATTTAGTAGCGGATCCTGCATAGATCTACCATTAGTTTTTGGTCACTTTTTCAACTGCAAACAGTGTAATACTACTAGGACAATTACTAGAGGAACTGCTGCTGCTCCACCAGAACTGGCTCAAATGAGACCCCCTTTGGGGGTATACTTCTTCTTCTTGTTCTTACTAGTGTTAAGAAGAGTGCTGTGTGGTGTCATTGTTAGTACATGAATAGGCCAGGGGGGAGCTGGTTCTTCATCAACAGCCTCCTGTATGGCCAAAATTGGCCCGTTGGAGACCCCAGCTGCTGGTCAGAAAATAGACTAGTAGAGCTCTATTTTAAAAAACTCTAGACCACCAGACTAAGAGCCTAGTCCAATTTGATTCTTACAGATTAACTGCTGGCACGGTACGATTACTCGTATCATACCATGCAGTCCGGTATTTTTTGTCTYGTTGGGAATTATTCACAACGCTGCTTACGTTCGTATTACTGTAATCAAACGAAGATGTCTGGTCGTCTTATCATTTCGTCAAAGAAAAGTTATTGTCCTTGGAATGCCAAGAATCTAAGWAGAATCGAAAGGGACGAGGAAGAGCATCTGGAGGCCCAAAAACGAGAACGAGAAAAACACGCTGACATATCATCGAGGGCACGAGTTGCTGCTTTGAAGAAAGCTGGGTRTGATGGCGATGGTYACGCAGAGCATATCAATCTTTTCGAATTAGAAGAGAAGGTCTATTTGAAACGACTTACTTGCAACAACAGGCAAAAAAAAMMCATTCAATMCCGCAAAGAAAAAGTTCATGRAATGCAACGGAGTATTTTGAATACACACGAGAACCAAGAGAGGAAACGARCCGGAAATAAGTTTAGTCAAAACGAGTTGGGAAGATTTTCCCGTGTTAACAACACCTCGAAACCTTTTTAYTTGTTGTCGCGTCCGGAARAAGAGGTACTTGGGAGGAAGGAAATGGATCGGAAACGGGAAATGGATCCGATGAAATTTTTTCACGAAAATGCGGAAGAAGTAGATGGGACATCCCATCGAAATCGGTCCTATTCTTGCGTGAGGCCTGATCGAGGAAATGTAGAATCCATTTCTTGTGTTGATTCAGAGTCGAAGCCCTCAAAAGCAAATAGATCCTCAACAGAGAAGAAGCGGGATCGACAAAGGTTCAGTGAAAATTATTCCGGCGATGATGGAGGCGAACAATCGACCGATATACCAAACTCTCACCACAGCGAAAGAAAAAAGAAGAAAAAGAAACGACAAAGGAAAGAGAGTCGTTCAGATCGCAGAAAACATTCCAGGTATACGAAAGAAAAGAAAAGACGTCTCACCCATAGCGAAACTTCGAATGATACTGATTCTATTGATCAGCTTGAAAAAAATAGGACAAAGCGACGGGAACGAGAGCGCAAACGGAAGGAGCATGTTCTCACTGGTACAAATACGAAAGGACGATAAATGTCGATAGCAACCGTTACAACATATGATCTCTGCCATTCTCCAATTACAAAACGAATTCTCTTCAGATTTAATATGTTGGAGGGGGGTGCATGGGCTCTAGGTTCATGTGCTGGAATTTCACCAATTTAATGTTCTGATGGTTCTGTGGGTTGAAATTGGTGTCAGATTGACCAAAATAGTAGTAAACCTAGTATCACGCCAACATTTGATGGAATTGTTCTCCAACCGCAAAACCAATTCTCATCTAGTTTTATCATGTTGGAGGGGGGTGCATGGGCTCTAGGTTCGTGTGCTGGAATTTCGCCAATTCAATGTTCTGATGGTTCTGTGGGTTGAAGTTGTGTCAGATTGACCAAAATAATACGAAACCCATTATCACGCCAAAATTTGATAGAATTGTTCTGCAACCACAAAACCAATTCTCTTACAGACTTAACATGATGGAGGGGGGTGCATGGGCTATAGGTTCATGTGCTGGAATTCCACCAATTGCACACTGGTACGTTGTCGACAAATATTTAATTTTCTTTTTCCGTGTCTCCAGTCTCCACACATCCGAAAAATATGTCGTCATTTGTGAAGAGYGAAGTTGGTTTCTTAAACGTCAAAGCAGTCTTAGTCTTCTTCTTCTTCTCTTGATCAAAAAGGGACGCATAAGTATGACTTGCAAACTCATCGATGTTATACAAAGGGGCTTGGTCTTCTTCTGCTCGTCCAATGGACTTCGCAAGGGTTGCCACCGCCGGATAGTAATGTCTTTCAAAGACAGCCAATTCCCACAATGAGCTTYGTAGAGCACGGCATTCGACTGGATCATCTACGTCGGCCACAAAACAATCTTCTATTTCCATGCCTTCCTTGCGTTGCACTAGACAGTAACATTCCGGATGTTTTTTGAGGAGGTTGGAAACCAAAGCTAGCGCGAACAGTGCACTCGGGGGTGGAGCGCTAAGGGCGCATCTGCAAAGACGTTTAATAAACGCTGCTATGAGATGAGCGGGTAGCATCGTATTGAGCACCAAACATTTCGTCATCAGGGAATAGAATCTAGCGCGATATTTCGCATACATTAGCCTCGACGACACCAGCTTGTAGAGTTGAGTGTAAAAATTTTCATACTCCAGGCCATCTTTGACGCAATCGAATAATGAGAGATTTTAAGTGAGTGGTATTTGATCGTTTTGAAAAACAGGATAGGTATGCAAAATGTCACAARTGATACGGTCAACTAACGAAACAACGCAATCTTACATTTTGTTATCAACAAGAACAGTCCATCCAAGGCGAGTACACCAATAATTCCCGAGCTATGATCAGAATAAGCTTGCATAAAAAAATCAGCAAAACGTAGAGGCTGTGCCACATAGTTCAGGACATTTTGAGGCAAAACATGAAGAGCTTTTTTCAGAGAAGMCACGGGAAGCGGCAATCTTAGTACAGCCAGCCAAGCTTTCTTATATTCMCGTCGAAACATCCGARTTTGTTGGAAAGAAAACCTGTGTGTGCTTTCTTTCTTTTGACGCTTCTTGGGTCTACTTYCCAATGTTTCCTCTTTGAGGCGTTCGGTATCACTAGATGATTCATCTTCAGAATCCATGTCGCTCTCCTCATCTGTTTCTTCTTCACTTTCTTCGCTTTCAACCTCAGTTTCATCTACTGGTGTGACATTTGAAGGCGGAGGGAAGAGAAATTGYTTGCTGCCGTCAAGATCATCATCAGAAGAGGGAACTGGAATCATCATTAGTAGTTCGAGTAGTTTCCCACCAACTTTGGTCTTTTCGTCGTCATCGTCGTCGCCATCGTAGACTGACGACGCTATCTTCGAGATGGCACCAAGTGAAAAATACTGGATATCTCGGTAAGGAGAAAAAAACTCAGCTTCTATCATATGYCTCATCCCCTTATCCATCACAGACGACTCCTGTAATGCCATAGCCCTCATCCAGTTTTTCAAAATGTCGGCATTGACGTATTTGTACGACGATGACGATGAACTRTTTTTATACCCTTTGCGATTCGTGTTGTTCGTAACCTTCGATACACTTGTTATTGGGGATCCAGCAATCACTCCCCACAAACATCTGATGGATGCGTGTCGTCCCAGTTTCACCCTTTCACACAGCTGGGAAACCATGTCATCGTGAGACTTTCGTAGGAAGGAACACCATTTAGCAGTGACTGAATTGTTGGCGCTACTAGAATCAGATTGAGCTCCTACAGTGAAAGTCAATTCTCCCGCCGCCTCTAACCTAGTAAAAACGCGTCTAAGCTCGTCGAGTCTCGCTGCATCAGCACGGATCTCAGGCAGTTCCTTCAGCAGTGTTTTGATTTGCTTGGCGACTTGGGCAGGCTTGACTTTGGTTTCTCCCGACGACGATCCTCCCTTTCTTATCGCCATGATGGATAAAAGCTGCAGTGCTTGGCAAAAAGATTATATTCCCGACTCTTATCTCGTGTATGCGCTCAACATTCCCCTGGAGGTTGTGCGAATGCGATCARTCTTCAAATTAAATTCTTTATTCAAATAATGGATTGGAATCAGTCGGGTTGTGGGAAGAACAAGAAAGAGAGAGTCCTTCAAAAATGGAAATGGATGGTGGTCGAATGGTTACTGGCGCAAATAGAGAGACTCGTTTGAGTCGTGCATGTGATACAACTGTGGAGGAGCTCGCGCAGCGCGTGTACCCAAATCGTACCAGAAAATGTACTCTGTTGAGCTTTGTGTCATTATCACGAGAAGAGTTTTTGTACCGTGGGTTCGAGAGCTTTAGCTCGAGAACCCACGGTACAAAAACTCTTCTCGTGATAATAACACGAAGCTCAACAGAGTACATTTTCTGGTACGATTTGGGTACACCAGTAACATCACTGAGATCGAGAGCTTGCTCGAGATCGAAGTGAGGTTACTGCAAGTACTTTCTTCAGCAACACCACCAACAAGCTCGAGAGCTTTAGCTCGAGAGCTTGTTGTTGGTGTTGCTGAAGAAAGTACTTGTTGGGCTGAAGCGGAGCTCTTCCACAGTTATTTACGTAACCGTTGAAGCAGCTCAACATTTCCATGTACTCAGCCAATCACTGCATCGCTGATACGTAGCGTCGCTGATACGGAGGATGCTGATACGGAGGATGCTGATACGAGACGCTGATACAAGACGCTGATACGGAGGACGCTGAAATGAGACGCTGATACGATACGAGTTGCTGATACGGAGGACACTGATACGATACAGAGGATGCTGATACGCAGGACGAGTGGTCGCTGCTGATACGGCGGAGCCGCTGATACGAGTCGCTGATACGGAGGACACTGATACGGAGGACGCTGATACGAGTTGCTAATACGAGTTGCTGATACGATACGGCGTTCCTCTGCTGGTTGGTGTTTTGCTTGTTTCCCCCTGCAAATCAATATTTCTGCGGTGTTTTCTACACGAGTTTGTACTGGAATAGCAATTGAGATGAGTTTTTCACTGAATTTAGTACTCCTCGTTCAAGATACTGTACTGTGTACTACTGGTACTGATACTCCGTATTTACAGTACTGAAGACAGTTTTTTAGTTTGTACCTGTTGAGGTGCATTTGCCTGGTTACAAGCGCGCAGAAGCGCACTGGTGCGCCTGTTTTTGTAACCAGACCCTTTTTTTTTGTAACCAGACTAGCAGTAGTATCGTGTAAAAATATGGGCTCTCCTTAAGGAAGGGTTTGGTTACAAAATTCTGGTTACAAAATTCAGTCCGCGCGGTTTTGTAACCAGTTGAGGTGCATGTACTTAGGCAAAAAATAACTAGTGTTTGTACGCGCGATCTGCTCAACAAAATCATGTACCTAAAAAATACCACTAGCGCTGAGTACATGGAAATGTTGAGCTGCTCAACGGTTACGTAGCGTACCAGTTAATTCGATATGAAGTATCACGCCCTTTATGGCAAAAAGGCACTCTACTCAAACGCCAAAATTATTACTAGTAAAATCACAGTTCATTTTGTAGCCCCTTTTTTTTCTTTTGATTACCAGATTCTACAAAGACCTACTAGTCTTTGTCCACTCTTTTGACCCCAAACAGTTCAATAAGCTAACCATGACAGTTCTGCAAGAAAGGCCCCTACTATCGTCCTCCCCCTTGGGGATGTGCTTGGTCATAGTGTTGGTGGGAACAGGCAGTGCCCTGTGCCAATAAGCCAAATGATGATTTTCTCGTAGATATTACTAACAGCTGGTTTAGATTGTTGGATTTGTTTTTGCTGTTTCTTCATTATGAACCAAAACTCTCAATAGACAATGAAGTTAGTAATTTATGGCATGCAGAATAGTAGTATTTTTGATTTTCTTCTTGCTCCCCTACTACAACACTCMATGGGGRTAGGCCTCTCCTCTATTTCTGATTGATTCAGAACACTTGTGCTTGCATGAATKACAAAAAGTGCTTGATTTAACAGAATGTTTGATCAKATACCAACTTTTAACRGCACAAAAATCYTCAACAGCATGGATCTTTTGACAGCATTTCCTACCKCTATCATGTTAGCACAGATTTCAGTCTAGTGGTTCTTGAAAYCATCAATGTTCCTAGGCATTGCATTTGTATGAACCACGTTCSCATTGAACAATTTCCACTCAACCCAGCAAAAAGCTCTTTATATTGTAGAATGGGTTGYCACAACCATGTCAGATGTCAGTGAGTTGTTACTTGGCTCTCGTTCTCACTCAAAAAGAATATCCTGCGTGAATAGGACACGGCATTGATCGCTACCCAATATTTCTGGAGATTTGTGAACTACTGGTTTCGTGGCACTGGTTGTAGATGATTTGCAGTATGAATCCCAACAACTTCCTGGAATGAGAACCGCTTCGCCTTTCTTCGACTGGTAAATATCAGCTCGGCTCAAATCAACGAGCATCCGGTTTCGATCTTCTACACTCCACATTACATGGTCATATTCGTCATCGTTGTGTTCGTCAGTTTCAGTACGAGCAGGCGAGTTATTGAATTCATCCCAACGAATCRCTTTGTCACAATAACCATTAGCATCKACTGTGTTGACCAAGTCCAGTCCAGGCCCGATCATCGTTTGTATCCACCTACATGGTACGTTGTCAATGTGGAATTGCGGGCACTTTGCACCCGAAGGCCCTCGCGTCGCTACAAGTCGGCATTTGAATTTTTGATTCAATACTAAATTSGAATCAACTATTCGTTCTCGAATCATATGTGTCTCACAAAAGTCTCGGTAGCCATTCAGTGACTCAACGAGAGTGGATTCGAGATGTTTAACAATATTTTCTTCGAAATCGATTTTACGCTTGTACTCAGGCAAATGACAGAGACACTCTCGTATTATACTTTTTGCAACATTCTGTGGATTCTCGTCCGGGGCCCACGTTACAGAAATATCCAACGGCGACGGCCGTGACGCATTGTCATCCTTGGATTTTCTCAAAAAGGAGTACAAGATGGATGCAACATCTGACATTTTTGCGGAAGATGGACAGAGTTCCTCCCAATAGTGGTGTTTCACAGGTTGACATGGACGAAACACATAATACGGTTGATCTGGACGAAATGCAGGATTTTGATCGGTACGGTCTCCTGTCCAAGGATACCGACGAGTTTCAATCCGATTCTCGTCTAGTGTAGGAATTGCATTTTGACGGTATGAATAATGTGTATAGCAGAGATGTTGATTGTTGAAGGATTTGTTCGCCTGTCCCAGGAGAAGAARGTTGCCGCAAACATTGGAATAATGGAAGGAAGACGTTCCATCAAGTAGACATACGAGTGTCAACGGTGTGACAATGCACACTCTTTTCTTCAGCCTTGACGGCGGCATCTTCGCAATGATTTATGAACAGCGCGATTGGATAGCGGTATTGTGACGAAATCGATGCATGTTTATTTAGAAAATTTCGTACTCGTACAGATACGAGTACCTACTACGTACTGTACGGTAGATCAGCGGATCATCAATCGTGCACTTTGCMAAGGCTTAGCTGGTACGTACTTCACCGTACATTACAACGTACGAGWACGTAGTAATACAAAAACAAATGCGTGTTCGTGAGGACGAAGAGAGAATCAATCACAGAGAAGGGACAAAATATGGTTCAGGTTGGTTACATGATGATTCAGGAATGCCCGTAACTACAGGATTGCCAACAAAAAAATTTCTTCCGAGTTTTTTCTTGGCACAATCCGTACTTTTTGTTATTGAAAAATTCATACTTTTCTAAATCARAAGTACAGTAAGTTTTGTCACACGGTAATTATCGGCGTGCCTTGTGGCTTTCCGCTGCCTTGATTCGAATACAAAAATTCTTGGTTTCCCTTCATACTAATTGGTCGTAGCCTAGTCGAAAAGGTCTCGTCATCGTCATCGTCGTATTCATCGTCAAACCATTGCGGCCACTGCGACGATTGAAGTTTCCCAACTCCAGCACCTTCTCTTATCATTCCATCGTGTTGGTCTCGAGAATGCYTTGGTTTCTTTGCTGTGCYATGCTCTTGRCTCTTCTCGTAGATTGGTAYTGAGGCATTTCTCTCGCGCGGAACTGAATTTCTCTTCTCTGGCTTGAGTGGTATCTTTCTTTCTCCTGTTTGACTTTTCTGATTGGAATTGTACGTTTCCRTGTTTCGATGATGATCTTCTTCTTGCCTTTCCAATGGCTGGGAGTTCTGCTCGATCGAATGAAGTTCGTCTCTATCCACTGTTCGATTGCTGTTSACGRAATGCATTGAATCCGGAATTTCAGGCGTTCTGTGAGATTGAGCAATCGGTACGTCCTCCACTTCATCTACCTCTCTGGGGCTGGTTGCTGCTGTCGTAAAATTTGTCCCATTGGCCGTCACAGGTGACGGCGAGGATGCTTCTTCTTCCAAGATTTCATGGTTTGYTACMTTGTCTTCCCTGGCGATTTCCACTGGCTCTTCTTCTGGGAGTTTCAAAAACCGAGGCGGGGGTTGGGTGCTGTGCCTTGGTTTCAGCGAAAGCCACGAAGAGCCGTGAGAGGGTCCCGGTGAATAGGGAGGGGGAGAATCGGTTTCCGCCCCGCTGTCGTCGTTGTTTGGATTGTTGCGTTGCCACAAGCTTTTGATACTTGGCAGTGAAAGCGGGCTAAAGGCAAGCTGGACAAGCATGATTTCTACACGCTGAGGAATGATGGGCCGAACAATGTTCGCAAAGACACGATTYTGCCAACCGGGTACTGATCGYGTGTCTCCATCGAGCAGCGACATGACACCCTGTAGAGGATGCCCARCAACAAAAGACACCGACTCGATTAGAAACACAGAATCCAACGGTGCATTCTACACTTTGTCTTCTTTGAYCTCGTGCTGTCTGGACTTACCTGGTGCGCAACCATGTCCGGCGATCGGGAATAAAACGGAAGGTACCAGACGAGGGCCCGGCGCGTTCCGCTGCTCCGGCGGAAGTCGGTATCGAGGACGGCCCCGGGCATCAGGCACGTGACACCGACGCCGTAGGATTCCATCTCCCTGGCCATGGACAGCGCCAGGGATTTCCCAAAGGCCTTGCACGCGCCGTACACCGCGGTGTTCGGGGCACCGTTGCACAGGCCGGCCATCGAGGACATCATGAGCATCCGGCCCCTCCGTTTCTTCTTCATGTCCCGGCCGTACAGGACGCTGAGCTTGGTGTAGGTCAGCGAGTTGAGCAGGACCATGCGCTCGATGTCGGAGGTGTCGGCATCGACGGCCAGTCCTTCGGTTGCCACGCCGGCGTTGTTGATCAGAATGTCGACGGAGATCCCCGCGTCGTCGGTGGCTTGTTTGATTCTCTCGGCGGCGTCCGCCTTGGACAGGTCGGCTTCTAAAACACAGCATTTCACCCCGTAGCAGGCTTCTAGATCCGACGCGAGCCGTGCCAGCTTGTCGACGTCTCTTGCCACCAGGACCAGGGGAATCTCCCACCGAGCTATTTCCACCGCAATGGCACGGCCAATCCCACGGGAGGCCCCCGTGACCAGGGCAAAGCCCATCTCGGGGGGCGCGGCATCGCCGGAAAGACCTTGTTTTGGCGTTTGTTTGGATGCCGCTTGTCKTTTTTTCAGTGTCTGGAGGGCCACCAGCTCGTCGTAGACACGCTGCCGGCGTATCTTGGCGACCTCCCTCTTCCGTGCAGCGCGTCCCTGGAGCCATTCGACGTAGTAGTTTTTAAGGAAGCGCCTCGGATTGGTGGTCGTCGTCTCGTAGATGCCGCTGAGGTGCTTTCGAATCTTTGGAGAAACGTTCGACAGGRTGCTCTCCACGGTGTCGCCCGCCGAGCCGTTCGGGTTCGAGGCCAGTTCGTCGCCAAAGGCGTTCCGRACCCCCGACCCCTCCGACGGTTTTCCCAGCAGCGCATCGATCTCGGGCTCGGGTACTTCWTCGGGCAGGAAGGGGGGCAAAAAGACCTTTGAAACGCTCACGTGCTCCCCCTCCCCATCGACGCTGCGCATTGCCGGCAGGGCCAGAGGCGAGAGCTTTCGTTTTCGCTGCAGCTCCTGGTTGCTCCAGGACAGGACGGCMATCCCCAGCCCGGCGATCGCCACCGAGCGGGCAAAGGGGTCGGAGAACAGGGGAATGACGCGGCGGAAGCCRTCCGCTTCCGACGCCGCCTTCGCCACCGATTTGGCGTCCTTAMGCCCTGCCTTTCGGGGGATGCTGGCCAGCACGATCAGTGGCGGCGCCGAGGGCGGGAGGTTGTACCAGACCTGGGAGGCGATCTCCGACAGCTGCCTGGTTTTGATGAGCACCTGTTGTTTCGCGTACGCCAGAAAGAGTGCCCCCATGCTGGGATACGCCGGCTTTGGCTTYKGGGCGCGGCGACCGGGATYTTGGTCCCCGCTTCCCTCGCCGTTTGCGGGAGACGAGCCGCGCCGGCTGGTCCATTTTTCCTTGAGGACGTTGATGGGCCACGGGGTGGGGATGCGTTCGCTCACGGTTTCCACCGAGCAGATGCTCCGCTCGTTTCCGGGGGTTCCGTGTGGGGTTCCGTGGGGGCCTTTGGAATCTCGGCGCCCCGCGCAAAAGATGGCGGCGCCGCGTTCGTCGTCGTCTTGGTTTTCGTTTTCCCTGGCACCGACCAAGACGACGCGGCGTTCGGTTTCCGGAAATCCTTCCGGAAATCCTGCCGCGGGCGACCTCTCGGAAAAGGGCCGCGGCGTGGGAACCGTCCAGAGGCACTTGCCCCAGGCGACCCGTCGTGCGATGGCCAGCGCTACGAGTACGAAAAGMACCCCGAGACTCCTCGGGGCGCCGGCCACCGGGAGGCGTCGTCGTTGGCGTCGGTAAAACTCGCACCGTTGGGCAGCGCTGGAGCTGGTGGTAGTTCTAGTTCTAGTGGCGGTGCTAGTGGTGGTGCTAGTGCTCCTGCGCTTGCGGCRTCGGTGCTGGAGAGAATCTGCCATCGTGCATCGAAATCCGCTTCGATCACTCGCTCGCTTCTGCGATCGAATAAYGCTAGCTGTTGCTGWTGCTGATGCTGTTGCTRTTGCTGTTGTATTGCTGTGTTGTAGTGCTTGGAGCCAGCGCACGGTAGATTCGAAGGTGTCGTTTCGTGGTGTCGTCGAGGATTGCMATGCAGTAGAGCAACTCTACCCGTTTGGAAGTTGGTATCTTGTACTCTACGGTACTCGTACCGGGACGTASGGTACGCTATGTTTGATGTTGTCACTCGAGGGTGAGGGAACAGTGCGACATCGGATGATCTTGAGAGACGGATTTGGAGATTGCTCTTCGATCCATCGATGTCACTCGTACGCGTACGAATAAGCACGAGCAATTCCTACGATCCTTTCGGTACCAGGTAATAGGTAGAAGTACTGTACTGTAGCATGCGGACCGCCACCGGATGAAACGAAACGAACCGGTGCATTACGCTACGGTACTATCCTACCGTACCGTACCTACATTGCATTGATGTACTACGGCACACATACGAGTACTACTTATTCGTACCGCGCCAAAAAAGTATGCCCGCCTAGTCGTTTCACATTCTCTCATACAGGACCAGTACTCGTACGTACCGAACTCGTAGGCTCGTACGTACGCGCTTCCAACTTGAGTACGTACGTCTGATTTAGTACGGTACAGTGTAGAGTCTACCATACAGTGCGTACGTACGTACTCGTACGGAACTTACGTTTTGATTTTTTTCAAACTCTGTGATTGGTAAGGTACGGTAGGTTTTTGATTCATTCGATTGGCTCGAAAAGATTTCCGTTTTCAAAAATAAGAATGACGAAAATCAAATCAAATCGAATCGAATCTCATGGTGAAAAAAAAAATTATGTCAAAAACTGGGATCCGTGTTTGTTCCTTCCGCCTTCTTCCGCCTCGAGAAAAGGAAACGGAATTTCGAAAAYATAGAAACACCCGCGGTCCATGGGACGACGGAAGGAAATTCAAAAAAGGTCGTCGAGCGTTAGTCGATACCACCAATCGCCAACACYCTTGCTTGCCATTCGTCTCCGGCAACGCTTGCACACACAGGAACCAGACTCAGGTCCTGCCGAGCAATCGAAACCACTCTCGTCGCAAACGAGGAACACAGACACAGACACAGACACAAAGAGGCACTGACACAGAGACAGACACACAGASGCACAGACGCACAGCAACATGGCGACAAACAAATCCTCCAATCCGCTGACGGCCATGTCTGCCGGCTGCATCGCCGGAGCCGTAGAGGCAACGGCCGTGTGGCCCATGGAATTCATCAAGACGCAGCTGCAGCTCGGATCCAAGTCGGGCTCGAAGCTCCCCTACGGCGGAATGATCGAGGGCCTGTCGTACACGGTCCGTACCACCGGCTTTTTCAGGTAGGCTGCCCCGCCCGCTGCCCAGCGGACCCGCCACCGGCAGCTCGTGTCGTGTCGTGTCGTCTCGTGTAGTGTCCTCTCGTGTTGTCTCGTATCCCGACAATCGCATCGTCTCGTATCTCACGCGCACCGGCTGGCGCCTCTCTTCTTTCCCTCCCTTTCTTCGTTGTGCGTGCGCGATCGGCGGAACGAACCCCGCGCCGCYGCAGCCTCTACCGCGGCCTCGCGCCGACCCTCGTGGGGAGCGTCCCRAAGGCCGGGATCCGGTTCGGCCTGAACTCGCTCATCAAGGAAAAACTGCGCGGAGAGGACGGGAAGCTCACRCCGGCCAAAAACTTCGTGGCGGGCCTCGGGGCCGGGGTCAGCGAGGCCCTGCTGGTGGTCGCTCCCGTCGAAACGGTMAAGACGAGGGTCATCGAGCTCAACATGCCCTTCCTGGGGGGACTCAAGCACATCGTCAGGTCCGAGGGCATCGGCGGCGTCTACAAAGGGGTGCGTTTCACAGAAAACACGGGCTCGCTCGAGCCTTGCGACCCTTTCGTTGGAACCACSGTGTGCCTTTCGGTTCTCCCGGTGCGCTCCTKCACTGCCAAAAGGCGGGGTGTGTCGCCCACGACCGTCGTCTCTCACAAACCACTGCGTTGCCAACCATTTCTTCGTGTCGTTGCACACTCATTTTCCGAAAACAATATTGTGTCGTTTCCCAGGCGTCCGCYACGGCAATGAAACAAGGGTCCAACCAGGGTCTGCGTTTTATGTGGTTCAACGAATACAAGAAACGGATTACGAACGACGGTGAAAAACCGWTGACCCCTCTCATGGGACTCTTTGGCGGAATGAGTGCCGGTTGTTTTTCGACCATCGGAAACAATCCATTCGACGTTGTAAAGGTGAGTCCGGAGATCATTTTGATGGGACGAWYTTTCGGTGCGGCCGGGGCTTGGAGTCCCTTSCGCGATTCCGCAAATCGGTCCACTCTTTGTTTGGAACGATCGTGTCCTCGTTCGGCTCGAATTCTGATTGGTTGCCGTCGCCCTTGGTATCGCTCACAACGCATCTTTTGAACGACCTCAACGCCGTGCGGCAGACCCGCATGCAAGGCACCCAGGCAACGAGGTATAAAAACACGATGGATTGCTTCGTCCAGGTCCTTCGCAACGAAGGCATCGGAGCCTTTTATGCCGGCGTCATTCCTCGTCTCGGCCGGGTCGTTCCTGGCCAAGGAATCATATTCATGTCGTTCGAATCTATCCAATCAACACTGGTAGCAAATTTCTCTATATTCAAGCATTGATCAGCTTTATTCAAGCATTGATCAGCTTTATTCAAGCATTGATCAGCTTTCGTTTGATCCGACGAGACGAGTCCAGACGAGAAGAGATGAAAGGAGAAAGCCTTTTGGTTGTTGGAATCCAGTTCTTACCGGACAAGACTCGCCAATTGTGATTACGCCAATCGATCTGATCCCTAGCCGAGAACCAATAGGTGTTTCTTTGATCTAGTCGTGTGACTATCTAWAATTAACCAATGCAAGATAAATGTTTCGATAAATTTGTGACATCTACTTTAGTTTTATGTTGTATGCGTTGGTTCRAAAAGTTTCCCTGCTTGGACCTTGGGTGTCATGTTGGTAGTGTAAAGATATTGGAATGTTATTGACATAGTGATTTACGACGCCAGGTGCTCTGGAGATAAAGATGCTTGTCGGATCGTTTCTTGTCTTCCTTTATATCTGTGTGTGTTGCGGTGGTATATGTTTGTATGTATGGTGTATGTATGTATGGCTTGTATTGTAGTTGGAAGATCTTGACATGTAACACATTGGGCTTGACTTTCTTTCCACTTGTTCCCGTTTTCTTCTATGGTGTGCGAGTGCTTTGATGCGAGACTTTGATCGAGTCCTTTCATTTGTGTTGTATGGGTTGTATGTTGTTTCTACACATGTTGATGTTCCCCTTTCGAGTAGAGTATTTTTGAAATGTGACCCAGTTCGCTCTATTTGCTTCTTGGAACGCCTGGAACGCCGGCATTCTGATTTTGTTTCGCAATAAGAAGAAGGCGACGTTTTTCGACRCGGCGCCTAAGTTCTCCTTCYCTTCCTAGTTTGGGRACCCAGTCTCCATTGTGRTGAACGAAAAATCGGAAGAAATTGGGATTCCAGCGACGGAATTGGCGTACGATGGATGCTTTCTTGATGTTTTGCTTGCGTTGTTGAGGGAGAGTTTGGTTCGAGACTTCTGATCCATACACTTGCATTATACGAATCATATCACTATAACAATAGCATAACAACGTTAACGTCAGCAAGAAAAGAAAGYAATGATAAGTGTCAATGCAGTGATACGTCATACGCCGTTGGACCAAAAATCTGTCTTGGATCGAGCTTCATCAGATACAGCGAGAAAGCGATTTCAGACTACTTACTCGACTGGGATATGAGATATCTTTCCCGTAGGGAGCTGCCGGAGTTCATGGATCTGATTCTCTAAASAATTGACTCGATTTTGTAAGGTAGACACAAGCACATCCTTTTCAGACAACTGCTCTTTCAGTTCCCTGATTTGTCGTGCCATGTCTTCTGAAGAGTGCCGAGGCTGTAACTCCAATCGAGGTGGTGCTGCTTGCTGTTGTTGCGGAGGTTGAAAAGCTGCACCAATTTCGCTGTTAGTCGTTGAAGCAGCTCCTGCGTGGGAATTGGCAGCCATCGCGTTGTTGCTGTATGGAGGTGCGAAGGAAGCTTCGGATAAGGTACGGATTATACTCCGGTGTTGATTGTGATAAAGCGAAACTTGATACTCTTGGTGTTCCTGCGGCTGATGCTGGTTCAAACTATGACTGTGGTTTTGTACCAAGCCAAAGCCGTAAGTCGCAGGAGAGGAAGGATACGGAGGTGATGAACCTACAGCAACCTGGTGGCCATACTCAAGGGTTGTAATCGGACTTCGAGACTCAACGATACAAGCTTTCGCATTATGGGTGCTGAGCTTGATCCTGTTCGAAGTGGTCGAGGTGCCTCTYAGTATTGCTCCCGGTTCTTCTTCGTCTTCCCCATCAGTCGAGACAGGACTCGCTATGTTCCTACCAACCGCTGCTGTAGTCCCAACGGGAAAGGGTCGAAGTGGTTTTGTTCTGTTTCTCTTGTCCCCAGTATAACCTGGAGGAACAGATCCACTACCAGTACCAGCAGCCACAGCTGCAGAAAGGAGATGTTGCGTGTGCGAAAAAGAAGGCAATCCCGTCACCATATGGTTGCTGCTATCAACTAGAACTGCGTTTTCGTATTTTTCATCGCTGCTAKTTTTTTYTTCCTCACTGCCACCAGTCCTATCTATTCCCTGCTTCAAAATAGCTGTCTGTGATAATAGTTCAAGCTTCTCCATGTTGGTTTCTCCTCCGCGTTCAACCATAGTTGCTTTTTGTAGCCTTTATGAACGAATGACTCCACTACAGGTTGATTGAGATTGTCAATGCCGATATTTTTATTSGACTTCGATGTTACTTGGTGATCATTGCAGACCTCACCACACGTCAGAAGTGTTTGAAGTTTGCACTGGCTCATCCGCGGGTAGGCTCCTTACTGCTATGTAAGGGCAGCCGTCGAAGGTGGATGAGGTGCTTATGGTTCTGATTGGATTGAATTTCTTCGATCTAAATTTTTCGCTATGGGCACGTCGATTTTTAACAGTAACGTGAGGTGAGTTAGCACGACATGCGTTCATGCACGTCGATTTTTAGGACAACTCCGACTGCTCATATTTTCAGCAATGTACTATATGGTCAATATGGAATAGCAGTTAAGAATTAGTCGGAGTCTCAAACAAATCGGTCCGAACTATGTAAACACGTTAGGGGGATAAAAGAAAAAGAACAACGACCGTTACCAATCAAAACGCTTAATGATATTTGCGGTTATGAAAGTACAAAAGCGGAAAAAAACTCGTCCGAGAGATTGATTCAGACCTACGAACGACGTACAATGTGTACCGTACAATGCGTACCGTACAATGCGTACCGTACAATGCGTACCTTACTGATTGATCATAAACTACAGTATTAACGTACGGTAGCGTACGAGAGCTCCCTTGCTTGGGGTAACTTCATTCGGGACCCTGTTGATTTGATGTAATGTCAGGGCCCTCCAGAACCAACGCGCGCGCGTCCCTCCTTTGAAAGGCATGATTTCGTGTTTTTTTTTTCAAATAAAATAACCCTAAAACGTGGGTTATTTTTCCCATGTAATAACCCATGATTCTAAAACGTGGGTTATTTTTCACAAAAAAGTGGGTTCCTGGGTTAACCCACCACGAATAACCCATGAAATAACCCACAAATTAACCCACGAATAACCCACAAACCTGCTGGGCCTATTTTCAAAAATTAAAAACAGTGATTAAATAACGTTAATGACTAAAATACATAACACCCTTGGTTCTCCATCAACCCAGCAGATGACTGTAAATTTGTGGGTTATTTGTGGGTTCCTGGGTTCTTCTTTCCTCGTGGGTTATTTTTCAAATAAAAAACCACATATTTAGAAAAGTGGGTTATTCTTCTTCCCATGAAAAAACCCATGATTCTAAAACATGGGTTATTTTTCACCAAAAATAACCCACGTTTTTCTAGGGGAGGAATTCAAAAAGGGGGATGTGCGTGTGGGTACCGGAGGAGGGCCCAGATTGGAATATGCTGGTTCCTTTGCATCATCCTTCCTCCCCAAATGTGCCTGTCACAGTAGCTTCTGTGCTCAGTCCCACCAGCACACCTGTGATCACGCCAGACCAAACAGCATACTAGTCGTACTACTAGTAGAAGTGGTAGATAGTAAGAAAGCCACCATGCCAGCCGGAAACCCTTGGACATTCCAGCAGATCAAGTCCCAGGAGGTTGGATGTCCAGAACTCCAACCCAGCAGATTCATATTCATTTATATTCTAGCTTAATCCTTATAATTCYCAACTTGTCTAAATACCATACCTTTACTCAAATAGTTGGTGCAGGAGCTTCTGACTTTGTCACCTTTTTTCTAATGTTGAGTAACAAAGCAAGCTTTTGTGTAAAATGATACATTCCTAAAAACATTACAAACCAAAAAGTTTGTTACTAGTAGTAGAACGTTGGAAATACATTAGTGTAATTAGTATGAAAAAAGGTAAGCCTTTGCAAAAATTTTCTGTTAGTACTGTTAAACATTTGAAACATTCCTAATGCTAAATTCTAYTGGAAAGCTGCTGTAACAACAGTGCAAACATCATTACTAACTACTGGTACTACTTACTTGTTACCTCCAATTTAAGACACACATGTATGATTGGACACCATAAAAAGGACTTCTTAACTCATGACAAATAAAGTCTTTGTTCCTCCTCCTCTTAGACCTTTACTCATCATTGAAGTGCTGGTGAATGTTTGCTTTTGCTTTTTTGTAGCTCTTGCTGGCATGAAGAACACCAAATTTTGTCTTTGAGTCTTTSGTATAAGCCTGCTTGTGCATTTCATGGTAACACAATAAATATGGTGAGCACCCTTGTCCTCCAGCAGCATCCCAAGAGAGTTCATGTTTGTAGCTGTGTCAGTTGTTACTGCTGTTAAACAAGTACGTCCCAAATTGACCTTTTCGATTTCTGAAAATTGTCACTCAACTTTTGCCTGTTGCTCCTCCTTAATGAAAAAACCAATCTCAAATGAATGCATGGCCCAAGGGTCATCCTTTGTATTAATGATGAGAGACAAGAATACTATATGTAGTAGCTGTCACATCAAAGTACTAATTCCAAAGACTTATTGACCNTTGCTCCTCCTTAATGAAAAAACCAATCTCAAATGAATGCATGGCCCAAGGGTCATCCTTTGTATTAATGATGAGAGACAAGAATACTATATGTAGTAGCTGTCACATCAAAGTACTAATTCCAAAGACTTATTGACCTCAAAGTGAGTCCCAGTGCAGACCACACAAACACTAGTGATGAAGAGCCCTAATTTATCCCTTAAACATGAAATCTAGAACTAATTTCTTACTAGCTAGTACTATTAGTGTCAAGAGACAACATTCACTTCTATCAACAACAACACCAACAGGAAGGTACTGCTGCTAGTATGAACAAGGTTATTTGGTAACTGCTGAAATCCAAGAAAGCCACTTATACTACTACTGGTATATGATTTCCAGACAACAAGCAGAGAAGCAAAATTTCCTTTTTTAATTTGCTACTACTCATACTCTCAACAGTAGCAGCAGCAGCAGCAGCAACAACAACAGCAGCAACAACAGCAGCAACAGCAGCAACAACAGCAACAGCAGCAACA